TCAATATAAAGAAATGAAATTATCTAGGAGGAAGGTATGTTTAATAGTACAAATTTGTAAAGGTGTCATTCAGTTAAAATACATTCTCAATATAAAGAAATGAAATTATCTGGAGGAAGGTATGTTTAATAGTACAAATTTGTAAAGGTATCATTCAGTTAAAATACATTCTCAATATAAAGAAATGAAATTATTACACTCTTATGCTTTACGGTAAGTTCTAAAATCTAAATCCAAACAGCATTCACTCCTGTGGTAGAGATAAAAGTGACAATTTTATAAGGCAATGTATAGTTTAAACAGGCTTATTAACATATATATCAACTGAATACTACATAGACCTATTTTAGTTAAAACGTATTTACGAATTTGTGCCTGATCAGAAAATATATTAAATGAAACGTATGTTAGTAAAATGTTTTGTGTCTTATAATTCGACATGCTTTTCATCAAACTTAATTTTGAAATTGCAGTTTCATATATTTAGCTGACGTGTACTTCAGGCAAGGTTCTTTATACTGTTTAACATAATATTAAAGAATTTGATATGGCTAATTCAGTTATTAATCATGGTAGCTTATTTCTTCCAAATCCCGATTGCTTCTTAATCCAACTTTTGGTAATCAGTTGCCGTTAATCGACTCGTCATGTTCAATCGTGTGGTAGATCACGCAAACTAAAATGCGCATGCGTTAAGCTTCTTGCATAATAACTCTTCGTAAAAACCGCGTATCTACTTGCACCTTTATGCCGACCTGAATAGTAATTTTAATATGCTTATATGAGATAAAACGATGTATATTGTATTAAGCTGTTTCATTTTAATAACAGTGTTATATTTAACGTAAGAGCTACTCAATTAAACAGTCAACGTTTAAAATATCAGTATTCCAACTGAATATTTAGACGACGAAGTATATTAAAGTTTCTAGACGATAAGATAAATTCACTACATAGATAAATAACATAAAATTCCATATTATTGTTTGTTTTGTTAATAGCAATGCTACTACGGCAAGGTGCCGCCATCCCTAATTTTGAGCTGTCAACCAGAAAAAGACAACAGGCCGGCATCAACTACCGTCACCTAACAACAGGCTGGCATCAACTACCGTCATCTAACAACAGGCCGGCATCATCTACCGTCACCTAACAACAGGCCGGCATCAACTACCGTCATCTAACAACAGGACGGCATCATCTACCGTCACCTAACAACAGGCCGGAATCAACTACCGTCACCTAACAACAGGCCGGCATCAACTACTGCCAACTCTTGGTCTACCTTTTCACCAACGAATAGTTGGAATGACCATTACATTATAATGTCCACATGAATAGAACGGCGAGCATGTTCGGCGCCGGAGTTTGTTCCCGCGGCCCATAGATTGTGAATCGAGTGCCAGGTCCAGAAATATTTCTCGTCCACTAACTGAACTCATGCACGTCAGTGCGAAATTTATAAGTCATGCAATTTATCTTAAACGAAAACAACGGTCATTTCAAGAGTGTTCTAGCACTGAATTAACTATACTAGAGATTACACTGTATGTTTGAGGTTTATCATCTAATGTTAAACCACAGAAAGCTTCTATAACCTATAACTACATTGTGAAACAATGGCGGTAAGTTTGTCTTACTCATATTTACATTTACTATTATAGGTTTACGGTAAGTGTGGTTCTATGAGATTTGTAGATACCAATTATGTTTGCGTGTTATCAAGTATCTTTTTATAAATTTCTATTGAAGCAAAAACGGCATTCATATTTTCCAGCACTTTTTATTCAACTACATATCCAAAAATCTCCAAAATTAACAAAGACATTCTATAATCATCTCCTTCTTTTATGATATCCCAATACCATTTAATGCAAACTATTTCCCAGTGTGAAGTAGAATTTGCATTGCAAAAAACTAGAGTATGTTGCAAGAGTTCATACTTGGTAAATAATTATTTTATCGATCCAATTTCCTAATACTCCTTTTTTTAAAACAATTATCGTTTTTTTTAGTGTTAAGCACAAAGCTACAAAATGAGATATCCGTTCTCTACCCACTGCGGGTATCGAAACCATATTTTTGGCGTATAAGCCTTCGGGGTTACCGCTAACCGACTGGAGGATAACAAGTTTGTAAGTTATCTTATTTGTAATGGGCTTTGTAATTTCGTAGAATGAATTTAACAAGACTTATTTTTTTTGCATAATTAAAAAATAATCATGCAGAAACGGATGGAAAATGCCATGCCCTTTAGTACACACATATGTATATGTATGTTGATAGTATAGTAACTAAATACCTAGCTATACTAACCAAAGTCGGGTAATCATGACAGAAGCGTAATCTCTCTCCACTATTTTTGCGTTTTAAAATATGTACATATTTTTCTTAAATACAGTTATTAACGTAAGTGTAGGGTGGGTACGAACAGTACAACAACAGGCTTAACTACAAGCAACATTTATCTATAACTATCTAGCCCGTCATGCAGACATACATGTGTATATATACAAAGTAAAGATATTTTGTTAATGGTTTTCAATAAGAGCGGGATAAACCGACAAGTCAGAGACTCATAAAATCTAAGTATAGCCACCTGGTATTTGAAATTGTTCACCATAGACGGGCAACCAATTAAACGTACATTTTCAAACAATTAAAATACATATTTGTTTAGCTGGTTCACCCAGTGGGTTTTTTATTCTATGTTCCATCCATTCTAGTTGTAGTTTGATGTATATTTAAGTCATAATAAAGAATTTTGTATTTTAGTCTAGCACTTTTTATCTTTTTTTCGAAATGAGTGAGTGAGCTATTGTGAAAACCTTATAGAAGTGAATGTTATTGGAAAAGGTTGAGAAGTACTGTTTTAAAGAATAGAATACTTACGTACACACGTTTATAAATACACAGCATATACGTCTGTGTGTGTACATACACTTATAAATACATAGGTATTTACGTCTGTGTTTGTGTACATATGCTTATAAATATACAGTATGTATATCTATGTGTGTACATACACTTATAAATACATAGATATGAACGTCTGTTTGTGTAAATACACTTATAAATACACAGTATGTATATCTGTGTATGTGTATACATATACTTATAAATATACAGTATGTATATCTGTGTGTGTACATACACTTATAAATATATAGGTATTTACGTCTGTGTGTGTATACATATACTTATAAATATACAGTATGTATATCTGTGTGTGTACATACACTTATAAATATATAGGTATTTACGTCTGTGTGTGTATACATATACTTATAAATATGCAGTATATATGTCTATGTGTGTATGTACACTTATAAATATATAGGTATTTATGTCTGTGTGTGTACATAAACTTATAAATACACAGTATATATGTCTGTGTGTGTGTATGTACATGTGAATATAATTATTAAAGTACTTGCCTCAACAATTGCTTAGTTACGTCTGTAAACATGATATTCATCAATATATTCTATTAAATTTATAAGACTTGATTTTTTTCACTTAAAACCCGTTTTCTTACTTAAAGAAAACAAATGTATGCTCTATGTATAGGTATGGACCATGATATTATTGTGTAGTGTCAGTTTTGGATTAAAGTTAACATTGTTTTTTAACTCTTGCGAGTAGAATTACCTGAGATATTTCATTCACATTTACCATTTTTCCAAGAATTATTTATTGTTTATGTTTAGAGATATTTCATTTACATTTACCATTTTTTCCAAGAATTATTTATTGTTTATGTTTAGAGATATTTCATTTACATTTACCTTTTTTCCTAGAATTATTTATTGTTTATGTTTAGAGATGTTTCATTTACATTTACCTTTTTTCCAAGAATTATCTTTTTTTATGTTTATTGAAACTTTGGCTTTTTTTGCACCTAACATGATTTATTTTTCTTTCTCATTGTTTCAAATATGACACTAGTACATCTGTGTACAAAGTGCTAATTAATCATTATATTTTTCAGTATCTCATAATTACGATAGAGTTTAGATTTTCAGATTTTACGCCTTCTTACATACATGATACAATAAACAATGATAAAATGTTATAAAGTATGTTCGAGTAATTAAGTAATTTTTAACTGAAAAATATATACTTAACTTTCTCTTACGAGTGCAAGAACATCTCTATTTTTTGTTAAGATACCACAGACTCGAAAGACATATTAACATAAGTGGCATGTTTTCTTTCTGTTAATAAACAGCAAGTATTCGTAATGTTCATACAGACTTCCAGCAATAACATTATTTAACACAGAGAAAAATAGCTAGACTCTAAAAATCGCAGATGTAAATTCATATGTATTCAAGGTTGTTAATATATGAACTTACATCCTTAGTTAATAAAATGTTATACTTGGATTGATGGTAGGTTAAAATCCCTAATATTCTAGCTACTATTTTTTTTTCCTTTTATGAAAACTGAAACTTTCAGCAAGCATAATTGCAAATGTTCAACATATCCAGAAAATAAGCAAGTTGATATTCACTTATGTCATCAGTACTGCCAGGACTAGTATCGATAATCGCCTTTCTGATGTCTAGCATACTAAGAATGGAATATACAAGATCATTAGGCGCGAAGATTTTATACATAATTTATTTTTCCCTTATCTCTCTCATACTGTTGATTATCCATGATTATGATACAGATTTCTTGGAATTATTACTTCAATTAACAGACAACCTCTAACAAATCCGTTCTTGCTGTTCTAATTTGAAGTAATATAATAAGTCAATGTAGCTGAATAGTTAGCAGATATAAACAAATATTGGAATTTTGATTGTGTAAGCAAGAACCTTGCTTTGTTTTTATAATAAGACACACTCTGAAAAAGTAATGTTGCATATATATCATAAAACATTAATACTCATTCAACAATTTGACTGACTGTACACAAATCTTGTTGTAACTATTGATTAAAGTCTTTAGAATTAAGGAATAATGAATAGGCCTATCTCTAGTATGCTTACCTGAACTCTGTCCCAGGCCTTTATGAGCGTTGTTCCAGAGAAGAAAGCTTAAAAACAATGTGTAAAATTGTGTCATTTTCAAATTTGCTCTTTCTTTTTTTCTTTCTCAGAAAAAAACCCACAAAAATATGTATATATTCTAATGCCTTCTCGGAACTACATATCTCTAATGTATTCAACCAGAAAAAAAGTTTTGGAAAGCTTCAAAATCACTAAGTACTAATGGAAAATTCAGCAGCGCAAAGTTTATAGTTTGTGGCACATTAAAGATTTTGAGCTCCCGATTTCTCTCGATATTTGTCTGTTTCCTATTGCATTAACACCTCAACTTCAGAGTAATTTGCTCTAAGTGAATCAACCACCTCTATTCAACAAGCTAATTCTCACCAACATCTGCTTCCAACCGAGTCACGCATCCCACTGACAGAAGCTATCCTAACCAGGTTCTGTGCTCCTCACTGCCGTAAACTTACGTCTGTGGAAGTTCTGATAATTTACACTGCCATCTGTTGAACGCAGATTAAATCATTTGGTAAAATAATTATTCGAGTGTAGAGAAACTTTTCGTTATATTTAAAGAGTATTATTCAATATATTATTTCTTGAAATTGAAACACATTAAACTACACTACTTTAATTATTTTTAGTTAACAAGTCAGAAATAAAAAATAAAATAAAAAATATGATTGTTTAATCTATGAAAAATAATAACAGTCATGTATATTTATATAAAAAATAAGAAATAATTATAGTATAAAACAACGATTGTCTTAATATAAACTTTAAGTCAATTAAGAAACATAGAAACATTAAAGAATGCAAAAGTTTACTAAAATAACTATTAAGTATCCTTGTGTAATAAAAAGTGACAGCAAAAATTTAGTTATTCAATGAAACCATAAAACACACCAGATTTTGTGGGTGTGTTTAGAAGAAACCTCGGAGGAAAAAAACCTATGTTTAACGTATGCGCTTCTGCTTGGTAGTGTACTGTGTTAAGTGTACTTTATCGATTAGTTGCACAATAACACAATGTAAGCCAAACGCATGTAAATGTACTCAATGTAACAACAACGAAGCAATATTCATCTCAGAGATGGATAGATAGATAGATAGATTAATACAATTATATATGTAAGAAAGAAATAATTATAGGTATAGAAGACGAGAAAGATGGAATGTATTGTTGAGATTATGCCTGTATATGACAGATAATTTCACTCTCTATTTTCCTGTATGATAAATAACAGCGTGCACGGCACGGATGTGACGAAGCTCAAGCAAACAAGGGTGTCAGATACGGTTCCCTTGGTGAGAGCCTGAAGATGTGAAAAAAGTGTTAATTTGACACTATGAAGGTGGAAAATGTAAGTAAAGGTTTTCCTGTGACTCCAAGCCCATACTTAGGGACAAAACAAGGGGGTATGACTATAAATAACAGTGATGAGAGAACGAGGTTCGTTTTTGTCAGAAAGTTGCTTCATGCGGCCAAATGAAAATAAAAAAGAACAGACGTCAACATCGTCAGGACTGATAAGTGTAGGTATATCATGATAATAATTTGACTCTACCGCCGTGGGGAAAGATCATGTGCTAAAACACCACTAAACAATGTCGACAATGTTCTCCTAATGGCCACCTAGCCTACGGGGCGGTCCTCTACTAGCAGCAGCAGCCGAGGTCACGTTCTCAGCTGCTGTCTGTAGTTGAGTGGTACGAAACTCGCTTCATATTGACTATCATGATTCAAAGATTGTTATGGAAGTTTGTGGTCACGAACAACGAAGACTGCACCAAATTCCCCCTACGATTTACAATAATATACGAAGAAGAAAGCAATATGGACAATTAAAGTTTTAAAGTTGCTCCCGCTCACATATCAGTTCATTAGAAAAATACCTTATTCCAAAATTACATTTTAACAAGCAAATCTACCTATGACGTATAGCAATAACCAAGTACAGAAATAGTGGTGGCCATTTTGGCTGGCATCAGATTGATATTTAGAATATAACTATAACGTAGCTTTGGGACCATTTTAAAACGATGTTAATGTATCTCAACTGCTGTAAACTGAAAGTGAATTCTTACGTAATCCCGGCCCATTTGGGACAGACTGTACACCAGAAATAACGTTCTCTTATTGTATCTACTCAACTTAATATTAATTAAATTGTATCGTTTGTACCAAGCCAGTTTTATTCGATATTCAGAGAATAGAAAATTAAATGAAAGTTCGATAGATGCATGCGATGTGTTTGTGTTCATAGCAGAGCAGTAGTAATTGATAAATAAAACTCTTTAATCATGGATTGGGCAATTTAAATATGATAAAATTAATTTTCATTATCTTATATACTAAAATGCAAAAACTTCGAAATAAAAACTGAGTCTACCGATATGTTATTGATTTTTTTAAAGACGTTAAATGTTTAAAACTTAAAAAATAAGTAGTCTGCAGTTTTATTTAAGTATATGTACTTTAAGTTTTTGGTTCTACTTTTAGCGTAAATAGCCTGTTGAAATTTTTAAAAGTATGTCTGACTTATAAGGACAGAGCATGCAGATACAAGACATCACCAACATATCCCAAGTTTCATCAATGTATATTACCATATAAAATGACATAGAAAACACTTTTTGTTCACAATAGACTTTGTATGTACACAACAGGTCTATTGCATCGAAATGTAATTGTGGAACCCGTAGTCGAAGTACAAACACTAACTTGGCAAGTCGTACAGGCACTGTTCATGCGGGAATGAATTATAGAAACCTACTTCCACGGTTAACCTACCAGCAAAGTCTCTGTTTCCTTTCATGCTTTATACAAGCGTGAAGTTCCGGTGAACTCATGAATAAGGGTCGGTGCCCACTAACACCTCCTCTGACACCAAAAGACCCCTTGATGACAAATGACAGTCATGATCTTCAACAAAAAAAATACCATTTCTGTTGGCTGGGATCGCTGACAGCTCCATCGTTGATAACAGGTAGGGAAGCTATATTTACTGCACCAAACACAAATCACAAATGTTCCATATAAAGGTAGTTGAGATTAACTTTCTTCAGCTGCATTCCTCTGAGGGACTTTGAATAAGCTGGGAAACCGAATGTTTTTGTGTCCCCAGCACCAATCAGATGTTTCTCTTCGTCATTTCTACAAAAGATTGGTTTTCTTATCATACCCAATACAACACTATACACATAAAATAACATGTACTGATCATTTACTGATAGAAGATTTACTGATATTTCCTAAATATAGATATGGAACGAATGTGTTATTCTTGCCGTTTCTGAAATTCCAATAATCTCTATCAGGATATAACCCACAAGCTATTTAGTTTCATTTTATGTCAAATATTTATGGAAAACATCTTTCTCTGCGAATACATAAAGACCTCAGAATACGGAAAACGTTAACAGGAAATATTGAATCAATATACACTTTTATTATGCATGTATCTAATTACTTTAGCATGCGGTGTAATACAAAATATCATTTCTTTCATCTATTTGCATTTCATTACAAAATAAAGAATATAAACTTAAAATATGTTATTAAGTTACTTCTTTGTTATACTTATTTTCTCTAGCGACATGAGTCAGTTAATATTCTATAGTTATCAAGTTTTTATAGTCTAATATATCCATGTTATGAAAATAACTTCACATCATTTATTCGCACAATATTAACTGAAGTCATAATTAATGTTTTAAATGCACTAAACATGGAGGCCTAAAACACGGTGTAATGAAGAACATCATAGCAGGGTTAACTGCTAAATGAAATAAACCTCAGATTCGTAAATATAGCATATTTATGTCAATTATAATTTAGCCAAATTATTCGATTAAATTAAAATTGATCAATACATCTTTTAATTTTTCAAGATCTCATTATGATTACTTTGTGTCCTTTCTAATCAAGCTTTTTTACAGTATAAATTATTTTATGTACACACGGATTTATTATATTAGGTATTTTTAACCTAAACATCATCTTAAACGAAACATCAGCTAAATTAGAGACCCAAAGAGTCAAACGTAATCGTCACTAATGCTTAAAGTGAATTTAACAATTTAACAGAACCAAACCCCTAAAAGCTGCAGACAACGGAATTGACTGTCGCTGTTATAATTCTCCTATAGTTGATAGTACGAAACGTGTTTAGTGGTCCTTAACTTAAGGCCATCCGACATACGCAACTCTGCAATATCCACTAAATCAAACGTGTTTAGTGGTCCTTAACTTAAGGCCATCCGCCATACGCAACTCTGCAATATCCACTAAATCAAACGTGTTTAGTGGTCCTTAACTTAAGGCCATCCGACATACGCAACTCTGCAATATCCATTAAGTCAAGCCTAGTGATATACATTTTTAACAAGAAAAACATTTTTTTTCTAAAAACTGGTGTTTAGCTTATGTAACAGAGTATGTTAGTAATAAGGATACCTTTTAAGAAAAAAGTGGCCTTAAATATACTACCACTGGCCTTGTGTTATTTGGAATTAAAAGTAGATATACGATCAACTACAATCGTGCCGATAAATTGTAAAATAGGGCAGGCACGGTAAAGCACGTTATGTTTGATGAAACGTATAATTTTGAAGCTAATAAATATTCTAATAATTAAAGAATTATGGAAAACATGGTCTAGTTGACAAGGAAAAGAAAGCTATAAGACATATTCGGCCTAAATTATATTTTAATGAGGCAACTGTATATAGAATGAAAAACGAGCCAGAAGTTCAAAGGGCGTATGAATAACAAGTGGGTTTTGTTGTATAAGGACGTCATACTTGGCGCTTTCTTTTTGAAGGAGAAGTACTGGAGATGTTGGAACAACAAAAATATATATTTAATGGAGAAAAAACTAAAACATGTAACTTTGAAAGACTTGTCAGGACTTGTAAGTTCATTTGTGTACAAAGAGAATCTGTAACAATTAGTCCTGAACATCAAATTTATAGACATGTACAGTTGGGTGTGACACTGTTGAATTTAGTATATTGTGTGTGTGATCTTGTTACATATGCTTTTTCTAAGAAGTTTTAAGTTAGTTTTTAGGCTAAATTTGTCAATAAACTTCTTGTTAATTGAAAACGTCATATTTACAGAAAATCAATGAAAAGAAAAACAGAAAAACAGCCTCAAAGTGTGCAAAAATATTAATTGAAATTGTTCTTAAAATTTAACAGGAACACGGTTAATAGTGTCAAATGTAGGAACACAGTTAACAATGTAAAATGTACATCTGAACCATTACAGAAAGGTTGTACTAAATTGTACAGAGTTTAGAGTTCAAAGGCCTATTTTCTTAAATATAGGATTATGACCCACTCACATTATAGGGCTGAATACACAACCAAATATTTACTTCGACTCACGACAG